CTCGAAAATCCAGGAATACTAGAATTGTGGGTCGCTTATACCTATGGCGTTGTTCTAGCACCTGACGCAGTGTGAAGACTTGGTCAACGCAACCCCTACCGGGCCGGAATCCCGCTTGCTGCTCTCGAGTCAGTATCTCACGAGCCACCTTGAAGCAAGGAAGCACAATCGACGCCAACTGTCTCGTTACGACTGGGGTCACCCTGATCCCCCTGAATATCCAAAACGATAGTCGACAGAAGATGTACTAATGCAGAATCGACGCTTGGAACTAAGGAGAGGTTTGTAGGATAAACGAACGCTAAATCAGGGGGAGTGAGCAGTTTACCGTCATCATTAACGGGAAGTCCAGTTGGATGCGAACAAGTCTTTTGTGAAATTCAAATTCGCACAGAAATGTTAGTATTTGCCGGAAACTCTGTTCTTCATTGCCCCACCTTCTAGAGTTTGACGCGGGCCTAGTCAGCATCGGAACTAGTGTCCGACCTGTATTGACTTGGAAACAGCTCGTTCGGTGTGCTGGTAGGCGGGTGTTTCAAAAGTGTGGTTCCGCGGGTCCCTCTGTATCTGTTATAAGGATGTTTTAGGCCAAATCAATGTCAGTCCAGTCAATAATCGGTTGTGTGCTATTGAAAAATTAACTGTTGTCATCAAATCGTGTAACCAACTTCTGTAAGCTGTGGCTCGAATCGAACGTTTCGTGTGACATTCTGGTCGACTGCCAAAAAGTACTTCATGGTAATCGCTGTGTTACACGAAAGCGTAAACATGTACACACTGAAACCACGTGTTTGAACCGCGTCTGGTTTTGAACAGTAGTGTTATACCAACTCGTTTGATTGTCGGGTACCTATGAAACGATATGCTAATTCAGACAGTCACATTTCGACTTACAATATGACATTCTGAATGTCAAATTTATCATCGATGGGACTTGAGGACCTTGGACGGGTGTTCTCGTTGCATAATCGAGTCCAGTATGAGAACTTTCTAGCGTCTGTACTAAAGAAGCGTGCCTAGAAAACTTTCGTGAAGGCAACTAGTGACAAATTTATGGATAAAATTGATTGCCGCCAGTCACCACCGGACACGTTATACACGAAATACGACAGAAAATGAAATACATTAATTTGCAAACCGATTTGATTTTTCCACAGACTCACCTGGAACCCAGATGAATCTCTCGGTTTTGATGTTTCCAGCCAACTGAATATGCTGCACCGGGTCGCCTCTTGATACAGTTGGCACAATATTCGAGATATCGTGATGCATGTAATACACTACTCATGAGGTAGCTGAAAACACTTTGACAGCCCACGACCGGTTTCACCCTTCTTGGTGCTCATCAGGTGGACGCAATCCCCGAGTTTCCGTCAACCTTATGCTCTACTTGAACCCAAATCGGACTGTTTTCGAGAAGTACACTCATTTGCAAATCGATTTGGTTTTCTTGAGAGACCCAACTGAATCTCTCGTTTATGATATTCTTCAACTGAATGTGCTGCACACAGGCAGCCTCATGTTTCAGTTGGCACGATACTCGAGATATCGCAGTATGTTTTCATAAATGAAACTACTCACAAGGTTGCTGAAAACTTCTTGACAGCCCAAGACCGGTTTCGCCCTTTTTGGGGCTCGTCAGGTAGGCGCAGTCCCTGAGTTTCGGTCAATGAATCATCGACAACCCTGTGGCTAGTGTGTTACGTCTATAGATGTGTGAAATTGTTGTGAATAATTCTACTTCGTGATTCTGTGTCAATAAGGGTCCAATCAGAGTCTAGGGAGTTGCCGAACAAACGCTACTTCCACCTTCTGTTTTAGGGGTCGGACTTCTGAGTCGACGGCTCAAGGTGGAGCAGCTCAACAAACCCCTTCTTCGGCCTGGGTAACCAGGACGGATAATCAAACTTCATAGTCCTTGCTATTCCCCAACATGTCCCCAATCCAAGTTTTTCTGATTCGTCTAGCTGTCAATCAACTACCCGTCACGTCGTATCTAATCTTCCGGCCAGTAGAGCAGATCAAAATAAAGCCTCATTAAGTTCATATGGCGTCTTTCAACGTCCGTACTGTGCGTCAAACTGGACAACAAGTAGCCGTTTCTCAGACCTTGTTCTCTCTTGCAATCTATTCATGTCGTCCGTACTGTCAAACTGGACAACGAGTAGCCGTTTCTCAGACCTTGTTCTCTCTTGCAATCTATTCATGTCGTGTATCTGAAACACGCACGCAACATCCCAGTTGGATCAAAGCGTTCCTGGCAAAATCTCTTCTCCCACATTTGACCGTACTTGTGTTAATCACTAGCGCGAATGGCCTTAATACGAAGCCCTCATTTGGTGCGTTGCCAGACGGGGCAAGAGAGTGAATATCCAAGGGAATGAGTCTCAACATTTTTCATGTTGCCCTGTCCACTGATGATTTCCAAAATGGATAAGACATCTGTTGGGTGCTCCTTGGTTTTCCACTTTCTTCCTATGCCTTGCATAGTTTCAATGCAGTCCCTTAGTAACATGTTTGATGCGTGTAGGCAAGTGATTTTCGACATCTGTACAAAGCGCTCAAGTCAAGCCCCGATATGCTGAAAAACCATCCGTTCCCCTGATTGAAGGTTAGGTGGGACTATGACCCGTCTGAATGAGAGTTAATCACACAGTTGATCAACCGCTCGTGGCCGAGAATTTAGACTTTGGGATACTGGATGAAACAGTTGCGCGGTGCTTCTCGGCTTTCTAGCATTGATTGGTCTCACAAACACGACAAGAGCTCATTGAATATCCCGGTTTAATATGAATTCATCCGCGCCGGTTGCCAGACTACTTTAGAGTATCTTGCGTGAACGTTTGCTGTGTGGTTGAACACTTTCACACACCATCTCTTCCAAATTTATCCCCCGGCCATTTTGAGCCTGGAATCACATGGTGCAGTAGGAGAAAAGCATCAAAGACTTGAGTTTCTGGACAATTCTAAATTGGTGGGCAAGCAAAAGCACTACTCATAAGGTTGATGAACACTTCGGATAGCTCACTACTATTCTCAAACATTCAGAGTCTCACTAGACAGCGCTATCTTTTTAATTTCCACTCAGCACCAAATCTTACGAATGCCAAGATAAACACCCATTCGCAAATTAAGCTGAAGTTAACGGGAGACCGGCTCTAGACGATGAACCAGGCGAGTTGTGAAACCGTCGGTGAGCTGTCCATCATCTTCATCGACCGTGTGATTAGTAGTGGACGACATGGCGATATTTTGAATATCGTCCGAACCGTAAAATTGCATAGCCTGTATGGCAAGCACTCAGGCGAAATTCCAATGAGTCTGCCTTAGCATCCATTCAAGGTGCAATTAACTGAGTTTCACCTGTTTGATGCCCCACGCCATCCACCCATTTGCATCAAGAGGGCGTAGGAAAATTCAGTACGTACTTTCGTCACTTGCGACCTCCAGGCTAGAAATATGAACATCTACGTGTTCGGCCACGCGTGACTGATCAGCAGAGTGGCGGACTCTCAAAGATGAATACAGCTGTTTGGAATGGTCTACTAAGTCATTATGGAGCTTGACCGAGTTTAGCCGGAGCTGCAGACGACCGGTTCTGTCCGAAATAGGACTCAAGCGATAACTGTGGCAAGAGAACTTTGATGGAGCTCATAAAATTGCGTGCTGGAGACAAGTTTCACTGAATTTCGATCAAGCTGCAGTCATTCAAAGATGTGACTGACTGTGCGTCCTTTCCCAATGAGCTATGCAGTACTTCGTGCCTTGTTTATGGACTATAGATCCAAGAGCTCTTCATACAATTCCACACATCGAGTCCACTGTACTATTGTGGTATGCCAATTGGGGATTTTCACGGCAAGATCACCTAAATTCCTGCTGAATGTC